GGAGAAAAATACCCTTTTCAGTTGAGTTTACCACAAAGCAAATTTCTGACAGGAAATTAACACTTAAGGATGTGAAATAATTATGAAGAACAGGCACTACAATAACATTTTGCAACAAAAAGTATGAACTTCAGGAACTGCTTCTAAGTAGAATGGTTTGTGCAAATTAAAATTCTTGTACCACAGACTTCCAAAGTCAGATTATTAATGCTCTGTGTACCTCTCCCTTTGGTTTACACCAAACCTCATTTTTCTACACAAACCAAGTAAAATCTTAGCATTAATAAAGGGCTTTGAACTTTTCCTTGAATATTAAAATCCTTTCTGCAGGTAGCATTTGTAACAGGTGCACATCAAACTTCTGATTGAATGCCTCTAATCACTGTTTACAATCCGAGAGCAACAATTATGAAATGGCTGTTTCTAAATTCCCGTGTATGTATTTCACCATCCAATCTGCCTTCTTCAATTTTCTTCCCCATTCATTCTAGAGTTCTACTTTTTGGGACACTAGATTTCAAAATTAAGTTACACTAAACTGAATTTCTCGTTCATAGGAAAAATACAAGCAAATGGGATTGGCTTGATTTTAAGGTTTTCTATAAAATGTATTTTAATTTTAACCCCTGCCAATATTTCACATGATTAAAATCTAACAAATTATTTCCTAATGTAGCACAAACATACTTAATATCTCTAATATACTGAAAATTTTAGTATATAAATATTCTATCCTGTTTGCAAAAATGCCATGAATTTCAAGGTATTCTTTTCACCAAATTGGTTTGAAAACCTATGTTCAAAATATAAAACCTAAAAATAGCTCATTTCCTCTGTTAAGTAACAATTTTGTGAACTTTATTTTTCACCAAAAGGATCTCAGAAATCATCTAGTCTAACCCACTACTTCATAGATGAAAAAAACTCACATCCAAAGCATGATGTATACCCTATGAATATTTTCTTCTTCAGGCAAAATGTCTCAAACTATTTTCAGTAGTTCCTTAAATAACATAACTTCTAGACCTTGAAAACTGAAATTATGGGTAAACCCACTCGGACCCCTCTTCTGTCCCTCTCTTGGACAGAAGCTTTCTTTCCCTCAATAAATATATTCTGAAGCCGGGCTGGTGGTGCACACCTGTAATCCCAGCACTTGGGAGGCTGAGGCAGGAGGGTCATTGCAAGTTTGAGGCCAGCCTGGGCTTTTACAAAGTGAGCTCAAGGCCAGCTTGAACTGCACAGTGAGACCTTGTCTCAAAAGACAAAAAAAAAAAAAAAAGCAAAATAAATAAATAAATAAATAAATATATTCTGCTCTTTAAAAAAAAAAAAGACCCTGGGTAATCATGACTATGGAGGAACAAGAAAACAGCCTGTTGCTAGACACAGGTGCGAGTCTCTTGGTCCTTCTTTTCAATCCTGGCCTTCCTTCCAGCCATCACACCTCAGTGAAAGGAGTCACTGGTGAGGAGGTAATACACTATTTTTGACAACCCTTAGGCTGGAACTACTTGTTAGATCCTTCTTGCGTATCTCTGTCTTCCTGAGAAACCACTTTGAAAATACCACCATGTCTTACAGCAGCCATTGATATTTTCCTACTAATCTATCCATAACTCTGTAATGTTTGTATTGTTCCTATCCTATTTCGTAAATGGATGCATGTCTATTATTATGTGTTTCCTACAACAACCATTGAGAATAGTTAATGATTATTCAATAGGTCACTCACGTATAGCTCTTATTTATTTTCTTTAGAAGCCACTTTGAAGATACCAAAGTATAGTACAACAACTATTGATAATCTCCTACCTCTTTTGTCTGTAACTATTGTTTTTCTATTTGTTTTCCTGAGAAACTATCTTGTAGATAACAATATGTAAAACAATAACCATTGGTAAATTCCTACCACTTTGTCTGTAATTTGGTAAGTCCCCCCATTATTATGTTATCCTTCTTTTACTCTTTAAAATAAAAAAATAAGATAAAACCTGAAGTCTTTTTTTGAGACAAACTGTAGTTTACTGGTTGCCTCTCTTAGAATGTGGTGCTTAAATATTATTATTAGATGAGGCTTTCGTACAGCAGAAAATGGAGTGATAACAAATATCTACCTCCTCAGCCATGCTGCAGTTAAGCTGACTGGGCAGGTTGCCCAAGCTACCCAAATTCAGACAGCATGATATTAAGCAAAATTCTTGATGTACTACACTGCAATAATTTAGCTCTGATTTCTACTTTTTTGTCTTTTTGAAACAGGGTTTCACTGTGCAGTTCATGCTGGCCTTGAATTCACTGTATAGCCCAGGCTGGCCTCAAACTCGCAGCAATCCTCGTACGTTAGCCTCCCAAGTACTGGGATTATAGGCAAGCACCACCACCCAATTTAGCTGATTTCTGATTGATCAGCTGACCAAATTATGCTATTTTTGCCTACTTGGTCAGCTGATCAATCAGAAATCTGAGCTAGATTGACCCATACCTCTCATAACCTATTTGTTTATTACTGCCTTAAAATCTAGGAACATGTTTCTGCTAAAACTGATCCTACTCAGCAATCTCATTAATTCCCACTGTCTGAGCAACTAGCAGTTCTCTGTAAACTGACTAGCAAATCTTGCTAGGGAAACTTTTACCTTTAAGAACCTACCTACCAGGGCCGGAGATACAGCTCAGTGGTCTAAGTGCCTGCCTGGCAAGCGCAAGGTCCTTAGTTCAATTCCCGGTATCACAAAAAAAGAAAAAAAAGAACCTACCTAACTTCATTATTCCTCTCAGACACCTTATAAAGACATTCCAAATAAGAAAAATAGCAACATGGTCCTGTGACAAATATTATCAGGAGAAGATGTATACAGGAACACTGACATGGGCAAAGGAAATGGTGAAAAACACAAGAACTGGAAATGACCAATCTAAACTAAACAGGGCAGCAGGAAAAAGAAAATTGAGGTTTGGTAAAGAAAAAGGCATTAGCAATCTCAGCTACTAATTTAGACTGAAAAGAAACTGTTCCCAGGTTACCCTATTTTTTATACTTCTTTATCTTGCCACACTTCCAGCCTCACAGGCTCCTAAAGTATGAGGAAAGTTTTCAAGGTATCTACTCAAGAGGTTCTAGAGAACAGCAGATTGGCTGCATTAGAATCACTTAGGGTAAGTTTTGGGGAAAAAAATCTTTCAAATTTCTGTTTTTATTTTTGGTGTTTCTGAGACAGAGTCTTGCTATGCAGTGCAGGCTGGCCTTGAACTCAAAACAATCCTCTTGCTTCCCTTCAAATTTCACACTCTCCCCACCCCCACCACAAGTCAGGATTGACTAGATCTAAACTTGTACAACATTGTGACATGTAACTGAATTTAGGAAGCTGATCTCCACCCTCCTTTTCAATAGTGAGAACTGAACTAGGCCTCACATTGAGTTACACACCCAGCTCTCTTTATTTTGAGACAGGATCTCCTTCAATTGCCCAGGTTGGCCTCCAGTTTATAATCCTCTTACCTCAAGCCACCTGAGTACCTAAGATTACAGGCATGTGGCACCAGGCCCAAGAAGAAGTTTTTTTTTTTTTTTTTTTTGAGACAGAGTCTCAATAAGCCGTTCAGGCTGGCCTTGAGCTCACTTTGTAGCCCAGGCTGGTCTCGAACTCCCAACAATCCTCCTGCCTCAGCTTCCCAAGTGCTGGGATTACAGGCATGTGCAACCACACCCGGCTCTGAACTATATATTTCAAAAAGCTAAAAAAAGAGATCTTGAACGTATTTACCATAAATGAGGTACGGTGGCACCTATCTTGGGAGGCTGAGCAGAAGGATAACAAATTTAAGCCTAGCGTAGGCAAGTTAGTGACTTAACAAGAACTTGTCTGAAAATAAAAAAATTAAAAGGAGCCAGGGCGTGATGGCGCATGCCTATAACCCCAGCACTTGGGAGGGTGAGGCAAGAGGATCACTACAAGTTTGAGGTTAGCCTGGGCTACAAAGTAAGTTCAAGGCCAGCTTGAACAGCATAGTGAAACCCTGTCTCAAAAAAAGACACACATACATGGGGCCAGGGATATAGCTCAGTGGCACAAGCACCTGCCTGGCAAGTGCAAGGTCCTGAGTTCAATTCCTGGTACCCAAAAAAAAGGGACATACACAGAAATTAAAAGGGCTGGGGATATAGCTCAGTGCAAAGACCCTGGTTCAACCCCCAGTACTGCAAATGGAAAAAAAGAAGAAATGAAAAACATTTGAGGAAGTAGGTATGTTTAATCTGATTAAACATCATATAGGGGGCTGGGGATTTAGCTCAGCAGTACAGCACCTGTCTGGCAAGTGCAAGGTCGTGAGTTCGATTCCCCATACCAGAAGAAAAACCAAAAACCAAAACAAAACAAAAAATCATACAATGTATACATGCATTAAAACATCTATTGAACCCCTACAAATATGTACCCCTACAAATATGTACAACTCTTATGTTTCATGTATTAGATAAAAATTAACCATATCCAAAAAAAAAAAAAAGCCTCAGGGATGGTAACTTTAATTCACCTCAGATCATCTGCCTCCATTAGTGGAAAATGACTCTTCAATAATTAGAATAGGTTCTAGGCAACTGCCCTTGCCAAATAACTGTAAACTGTTTTAATTATTCTCTCATACACTCAGTCATTCATGGTTAAAAACAACATAACAATAATTTCTATAATGAAGTTAGAAATCAAAATTGTTGGCTTTGAAAAAATAAAAAAGGAAAGGATAATACATAATGAGATATGGAAAGGCAAGAGTACCTTAAATGCCTCAGTGACAGCCAGTTCTTTGATTAGAATGTTTTTACTTTTCACATTAGAATATCAAAAGTAAACAACTTGCCATACAATCAAAGCACTCTTAGAGGCAAAGAAAAACAAACCTTAAAATAAAAATATTTTTCCTAATAAATCATGCACACCAATATGAATTTTATGTTTTACTAAGTTTGAGAGGTTAGTAAGAAAATCCTATACCTGAGGTATTTGGCCCTGGACTTTTGCAAGCTGAGTTGTTCGAATATTTAGAGACTGGCTTCTTGTTACAGTTGCTCCAGAAAGAGATTTTCCATTCACCTTTCTTTCGAGGTGACAACTTGCTGGTGATCTCACTCCTAGAAGAACAGCATCCCAAGGATCCTCTGCTAGCAAACTTGGGACATTTCCATCTTCTTCATGGTCTAATACTTCCACATTGTCCACCTTTGGCTTACTTAGAGGATCCAAGTCTAGCCAGTCAAATTTACTAATATCCTCAGACTTTGGAGATCCCTGTAGATTGTTGACTGTAACTTTTGAATTTGTTATCTCCAAATCAGTCCTTGCTTTTCCATTCTTTAAAAATTCTGATGTACTAGCTATTTTGTCAAATAGTTTTGCCATCTCAGGATTGACCACTGGACGGTAGATTGGTAAACTTCCTTGTGGATGAAAGGGTGTGGCAGGTGTCAAAGGATATGAGAAATATGGAGACTGTCCTGGAAGTCTTAAACATATAGGTTCGGTAGATGGAAAAGTAGGCATTCTTGGATTGAAGCCATTTTGGAATGCAGCCTGTTTACTGTAAATTGAAGGATAAATAGAAGTGTAAGTGGAAGGTCCAGATAATCCAGGTGGCCACTGTCCTCTCTGAATCGAAGGTCTAAGATAGAGCTGTGCTGAAAATGAAGGGCTCAGAACAGGAGTAACTGGCAATGCAGGTGTTTTTCTAGTCTCAAAATCATCATCCAATAATAATTTCTCAAGTTCAGCTTGGGTGAGCTTATCTACATCAATATCAACTGCTCTCTTGTGGGACTCTGATTCAGGAAACACCATAAGATCATAATCCTGTTGGTTTAAAACTTGTGTTTTTTGTCTGGTGCTGCTTGTCAACTCAAAGGCTCTCTGATTGTCAGTCACTTGTTTATCCTTTTGCAGTTTTGCTAAAGCCTCTGCTTCCATCTGTAATGCTTCTTCTTTGTCTACTTCTTTTGTTCTTATTGGTTCCAAATGAGTAGATGAACACTGTTTAAATCCATTGTTGCTGGATATCTGAGCCATGTCCATTAAAGAGACCAAATCTTCTTCCAATCTATTTTCTCTTGTAGCTTCCAAAATAGCAAGGCCTATATATAACAATAAGCAAACACTCAATTAGATTTTGTAAGCACAGATAAATTTATTGTTTGAAACCTACCCCATATGATTCAAGATTTGAAGCCACTTACACAAATAAAATGAACAACTGGGTGAAATCTGGAACATTTAATGCCCTATATACTGCTGGATTAAGGAAGATGTTTAGATACACATAACTATCTCATTTCCTGATCTAATAAAACAGCTGGCTTGTACATATATAGATGGCACTTTAGCTACCACAACGGCTGCCATTAACCAGTGGCTCTTGTGGCAGAATTCTTGGCATGAAATAACCTAACTGCCAGTTACATATTTTCAAGAGTTCAGTTAGGGTTTGCTGCTGTACAAATCCAAAGTCAAAATAGTTGTGACTGGGGCTGGGGATTTAGCTCTGCGGCATAGCGCCTGCCTGGCAAGCGCAAGGTTGTGAGTTCGATTCCCAGTACCAGAAAAAACAAACAAACAAAATAGTTGTGAACTTTCATCATTTGTTAAATTGCTCAAAAGCCAATTAGTATTAAAAGCACCCACTACCTACTCAATCAAATAAGGAGCTATATTTCATCAAAATATGTTAAACTGACTATGGTGGCATACACCTATAATCCTAGATGCTAAGGAGGCTGAGGCAGAAGGATCACAAGTTCAGGGCAAGCCAGGGCAATTTATCAAGATTCTGTCTCAAAGTTAAAAATAAAATAAAAAGTGCTAGGGATACAGCTCAGTGCATGCAAGAGCACTTGCCTAGCTTGCATGAGGCCCTGGTTTCAACCCCCAGTACAAGCCAGGCATGGTGGTACATCCCTATAAATCCAGCACTTGGGAGGCTCAGGCAGAAAGATCACAAATTTGCGGCCAGCCTGGGCTACATGTGAGGTTAAGGCCAGCCTGAACTATATAGCGAGTCTGTCTAGAAAAAAAAAAAAAAAAAAAAAAGGCCAGGTGTGGTGGCACATGCCTATTTATCATCCCCAGCACTTAGGAGGCTGAGGCAGGAGGATCATCATGAGTTCAAGGCCAACCTGACCTGCATAGTGAGACCTTGTCTCAAAGACGACAACAACAACAACAAAAAAAAAACCATGAGAAACTGAGTAAGGGTTTATAATATTCTAGAAATAATAAAAATGTATAATGTAACATAGCTTAGAATAGTAAGACAAAAGTATTAAGGCTATAAGAAGCTGTAATAGGGGCCGGGAATATATAGCTCCATGGCAGAAATGCCTGCCTGGCAAGCACGAAGTCTCAAGTTCAATACCCAGTACCAAAAAAAAAAAAAAGCTGTAATATTCCACTCAACGGTTAAATTAGGACTAAATGCATCGCATAGTTTCAATCATACTTGTGTTCTGATTATCTGCAGGTTAAATCAATTGTTATAACAGCAAAACTTTCCATTTAAAAAATCCTTATTTTTTAGCCATGAAAAGACCAGAAGTTAATTTTTAAACCTTCTCTAGTCAAGCACAGTGGCACACACCTATAATCCCAGCACTCTGGTAGACTAAAACAGGAAGACTGCAAATCTCTAGCAAGTTTGCACCATCAACTTAGTGACATCAAGGTGAAGGTCCTCTGTTAAATTCCCAGTACCACCAAAAAAGAAAGGGTAGGGGGGTCCCTTCTTGTCAGTCCATTAATAAAAATCTACACTCCCTTATTTAAGACAAACAATTTAGGCCAAGATTACCCTGAGAAGCAATATGACCACTTAAAAAGTTACCTACTGTGCAATAGAAGGCACATTTCTTGCTTCTAATCAATTTGATATGGGGTTAAATGTGGATTCCGGAGTTATACCACTTTATTATATCACTTTGGTTTAAGAAGCTATATGAGATAGGTGCGGTGACTAAGATGAAGATCACAAATTCAAGGTCAGTCTGGGCAATTTAGCAACTTAATGAGACCTTGTTTCAAAAAAAAAAAAGCACCAGGGACATGGTGGTACACACTTGTAGTCCCAGCACTAAGGAAAGACGCTCAGTGAAAGGATGTAGGGAAATGCCCCAAGTAAATTTAAATTAATAAGAATGAAAATCTAGGTGATAAGTGATAATATTATGGTAAGGATATAAAGAAGGATGTACTCAAGGAATGTCCCCAAAATATTACTTTGTAAATGAGTGTGGTAAAACATGCCTGTAATCCCAGCCCTCGGGAGGCTGAGGCAGGAGGTTCATTACAAGTTCAAGACCAGCCTGAGCTACAAGTGAGCTCAAGGCCAGTCTGAACTACATAGTAAGACCCCGTCTCAAAAAAATACAACAACAACAAAAAATTACTCTGCAATTCTTTCATACAAGTATAGCTTAATTTCTGAGGCAATTTACTGAAAAGCAATTCCAAATTTTTTCCTCCTGTAGTAGGACTGCAAAACACAGGCATGATGTTTACCTAAAATCTGAATCCTTTGTTATATATAAACCTTATATCAAGAGAAAAAAAAACTGCAAATATTGAACTCTTGCTAAATATGCACCAAGTACTTACAGGATGTTTACAATTTACTTTGAAGTGCATAAAAACAATGAATTAATAGATACAAGGATAATAGTTGAAATGTGATAATGCAAATATAAAAAGACATTAACAGAATCTAGGGGGTAGGTATATGGATGTATCCCACTATAAATTTTAACTGGCCTATGATGAATGAAAATATTTACAATAGAATGCTGGGGGTAGTGAGCCCAAATTCTTCCTACTTGAATATATACTCTCCTTTGCAGTATGATTTTGTTGCCACCTCCAATAAAGAAGGGTCTAATTCTCTATTCTCTTTATCTGAGCAGAACTTATGACTTACTTGGACTAATGGATTGTGGAAAAAGTAACAAGTTCCAAGACTAAGTCATAAGAAACATTACCTCAGCTCTTCCTTTCTTCAAAGCAGCCACTGCAATGTGAATGAAAGCTCACCAAGAATGAGAAAACTAGGAGCAAGAAATGCAGCCAACAGCCAGAAGCAACCACTAGACATACCATAAATGCTACCAACCTAGACTATCCAACCACACTCCAGATGACATCAGCCTCAAGCAAGACCAGTAGAAGAAACCGCCCAGCTGAATTCAGGCCAAATTGTTCACACAGACTATCACTTTGGAATGATTTGTTACAAAATAATAGATAACTGAAAACCTTTTTCTTATTTATTTATTTTTCTTCTGTTGAGCTAGGGATGGAGAGGAGTTACATCCCTAGTCTTATAACTTATTTTAGAAAACAAAAGGCAAACTCCTTAACTATTAAACAATGAATTCCTTTGTTTAATTTCTGCCACCACTACCACTTAATTTCACTTGTCCTCAGAGAATAGTTTTCCTTCCTTTTTATTTATTTATTTATTTTTGTCTTTTTGAGACAGGGTCTTGATATGCAGTTCAGGTTGGCCTTGAGCTCACTTTGTAGCCCACGCTGGTCTCAAACTTGCAAGGATCCTCCTGCCTCAGCCTCCCAAGTACTGGGATTACAGGCACGCACCACCACACCCAGCTGGGCTGGTTTTCCTTTCTAAATTTACCTCCTCTACATACATCCTTAACCTACTGGACACTCCTCTACTTTTTTATTTGCGACTGCCTTCCCTGCAAAATGCTACAGTTTTCTCCACATGAAATCTCTAACATTCTCCTTTAGATTCTAGTAGTTTCCATTCTAATTTTCTTCCTTCACTGCACAACTTTTCACATGAGTGACTCCTTTCTTTATACATTCTCTGCCTTGGAAAAACTACTTGTCCTTCAGGGCCCAATTAAAATATTACCACCTCTCTGAAGCTTTTCCTAAGCAGCTCTTATCAGAATTCACCTTTTTCTGCTCAACCAATTTTTTTTAAAAATCACAGTTTCTTTTATTTTACATTTGCAGCACCAGAGATTGAACTCAGGTCTTTGTGTATGCTAAGTAAGCATTCTACCACTGATACCTCTTTATTTTTGTTAGCTTAACCTGTCAACTTCTCTGCTTCTGGCAAGAGAATCTATAGCTTCCTTTTTGGTCACTGCTCATTTGCCTTTTATGTCCTTTGTAGTTAAAATAAGACTGCATTATTCCTACTCTCATACTTCCACATCCACCACTGCTCCAAAAGAACCATGTCTGGCTCATCAGAGTTAACCCAGGAAAGGTTTTTTTTGTTTTAGTACGGAGGCCTTTGCTGAGTTACATCCTCAGCCCTTTTTATTTATTTAATTTTGAGGCAGGGTCTCACTGACTCACTAAAAATTGCCCAGGCTCGGTTTGAACTTGTGATCCTCCTGCCTCAGTCTCCTGGAGTGCTGGGACTATAGGCATACTGTACTACCATACTTCTTTCTCAGCTGAATGTAGGCTTTCTGTTTAGGTTGCTACACTGATGAGGGGTGTAAATCTCTATTGCTGTGGCCACTTTTGCTACTACTAGAGGAGGTGCTTCCTAAGAATGAATCCAAGCCATAAAAAAGGAAAGCTAAGTAAAATATAGATTCTATTAGTAATACATTACACATCTGGATCCAACCATATCCTTCCTAAACCAATACTTTCATTGAAGTAAACCTATAAATTTTTTTGCTTATGTAAATTTAAAGTGAGTTTGTGTCATAATAACCCCAAAAGCCGTGATTAACACAGAATCTGTAAACTCGTATTGTTGTAGGCAGATGAGTTAAATAAAAATATTATAGGCAGTCAGAGCCCTTGATCAAACAAATGCACCCACAAACCTCCCTGAGGATGGACATCAGGGATTGACAGTCCAAATAGGTATCAATCGCCTTGAAAAAGCCAGGAAGTCACTGACCCAACTCCCTACAGGAAAAGCCCCTGTTCTGTATTCATGCCTGCTTGCTACATGACTAGCTCCCCCATTTGATCCTGATTTAATCAATTTTACTGAGCAATTATACTTGTAATCTTACTGGCTGATCACAGTTTTGTCCCACTTCATGCCCACCTATTGAGTTCCCATGTTTCCCCACCTTGGACCTGCCTCATC